ATTTACGCATCTTAGAGATTTTATTATTTTTCAGTTATTTTATTTATGGACATGATTTCGGTGGAGGGAGAACACTTTTGAACCATGTTACGTTGGAAAAGCATCTCCTCTTTAACCTTTGTCGCTCCAGTGTAATTTAAAGGTTTATTTGTGGTTTAAACTCTTTTTGTGAAGTTTTACACTTTAGAATAAACAGACTCATATATAACATTATACCATATTCCAGCGTTTGTTTTGTATTTTTAGTTGTAAACCACAAGAGATGGCTTAATAAACTGTTATATTGGTTTTTAATTTGACAATTTTATGTTTGCTGTTGACAAGGCATTAAGAGCGATAACTCGATAACAGCTTAAGATGCTCAGTATGTTAGCTGTTAGGCTGAAGTTTATTTTAAGCTTAATATGGTATAGTACATTAATTTAAAGTACGGTATTTAAAAGTATTTTTAACAATTCAATTCAACAATTCTTGTAAAACTGAAATTGTATTTAATAAACAATAAAATGAAATTTGATACAATTCCTATTTTCAGAATAATTATGTTCACTTTCAAAGCGTAAAATTATTAAATTAATTGCATAGGAAATATTTTATTGCATAGGAAATTTAATGCAAAATCTTTCCAACACTAGCGGATTTCAGTATTACAAAGTCTTTCACTTAACCCAATCAATTTTTAGTCAGAAATTTCAAAGTTAAAGTATAATACCTATATATGTGTTAAGAGAACGTATGATCGAAATTTATTACGTTTCTGTCGAAACCGAATGATAAAAAAATTTCATTACATCCGACTCCAACAAATTGAATTTTCTATTTGTTCTTTATTTTATTAATCAGACTTTTTAGGACTTTTTCATCGAAGAAATTAGAGCATAAAATGTTTTAAAAAGAATGAAAATTCGGATGAAATTCTTCGAAATATTATCTGGAAAGAAAAAAAAAAAAAAAAAAATGGAAAGCGTGCATAACTAAATTAAAATTTTAGTTTCAAATTACCTGTTTTTAATTTTGCGATAAAAATTGTTTCCTCGCTAGCTTTGAAGATCTTGAGGATAATCTTATGAGGATATATTTTGAATAAAATTACAGTGTTAAATTATATGAGCTAATTTCAAATGAAGTTTATTGGATATTCAACTACATATATATTATTAGAATAAACATAATCTACATAAATTAGAATTTAATTATTACCGCCTAGGAACAGTATTTCAATACATTGTTATTTAAATAAAGTAAATTAATATATAACTCAACTAATAAAATAAACGTCAGATTGGGCTGCTGAGTGGTAACCATTAAAAATGCCGTGGAAGTTTATCTGAATGTTATTTAGTATATGCCAAAAGATGTGTGCATGAATATGCGTTTGATACTTTATAAAATTGTACAAATGTTAAAAAAATTACAATAGAAAACAAAAATGTAAAAAAGCAAAAGTAAGTTACTGTTTGTATGCCAAAGAAGAATTCATTTTTCAAAGCGAAATAATTTTCATTTAGCAAATTCACAGTTTAGGGATTATCGCTGTTCGTCACAAACGAAATTTGCTTCTTCTTTGGCATACAAACAATACTTTAATTTTGATATTTACATTTTGTTTCCATTGTTAAAATTTTTTAACATTTGTTCAATTTATATAATTTTATAATGAATCTTATATGTTCAAGTAAATAGTAGGATTTTTAATGGTTACTATTCATTTACCTAATTTGATATTTATTTTTCACATTTCTAAATTAGTTGAACTGTGTATTAATTTAATTTTATTACCTCATAGTTTATTTAAGTTATATATTGAAATACTATTCCTATGAGGTAATAATTAAATTATAATAATATATGCATAACATGTAACATGAATAATTGATAATATTATTGTGACTGAGGAAAGTAAAAGGAAATATTTTTTCACATTCACACTACGTACACAGACCTTCAAAGCATTGGAATAATGCAGACACCGCCATAACGTTGAAAATAAAATTTGTAACGCACTTATTTTAGAGCGTTTCGCACATAGAATAACACAGTCGAGCAAATAATTTGTAAGTTAGAAAAAGTGACAAAATAAATTTTTCTATTGAACGTTCCATCCGAACACAGAAAAACCATCCTACTGACTCAAATGTAATAAAAAGAAGTTAAGAATTATTCAGTACTGATGTAGGAATAATGGTAAGTAGAAACTTAAAAATACAAATGCGCAAAAGTACAAATGTTGATGGCCCAACACGTAGATCTATATTGCAGAGTAGGGTTTCTTGACCACTTTTTATCACTGAGATTTTTCCGCGACCCCAGGACCCCATAATATTTACAAAAATTTTGTGGGACCCCATAAGTATTGCGCAAATCCGTCACACGCGTGAGGGAAACTGTCAATTATTTTCACTTGTACTGTAATATACTTTTTGCAGTTTTAGGTCATTAAGTTTAATTTCTAATTTTAAGACATAGAAAATGAGAAAATTTTAAATAAGTAACACACGAAAAGAGTGTCACGTGCAAAGCAAGAAAAATGAACGTTGATATTATAAAAAGAATGCCTCGAAACGTTTTCGTTTTTTTCTTTGTCTCTATTGTCATATCTTTTTCTATGTTTACATTAAACATATTTGGTAATTTTAAAATTATTATAATAATTTTAGGAAATGTTAAAATTGCTAAAATTTTTGGCGACCCCCTTAGGGCTCGCGACTCAAAGTTTAAGAAACCTTATAGGAAGAATTCGGACTGCATAGAATGGTGAAATGTTAGCAGCCGAGACAGATAAGTATTCACTTTTATTCCTCGGATGGAATAATCTTTTCAATTTTTTTAAAATTTCTTAATATAGTATATATGAAATCTAGACTTTCCAGAAAAGAAAACATCATGCCACTGATGAGTCTGCATGCTTTAGTGAAATTTTTATTGCAGGCACTGATAAGCGTCAAACTAAGCAGTGGCTCATGCCACTGCACGCGTCACTGCACTGCACGCGTAGCACTATGCGTGCGGATTCCTAGTAATCTGCTACATGCGCATTTCGTAACCCAGTGTCACGACGTTTATTAAACAGCCACATCTTATACTCTGGGTCACCAACTGGGCAGGGATGCAGATAAGATGTCTATTTTCTTGGTCGTTGAGAAGTGAGTGCCATTGAGATTGCACCCGTATGTGTAGTATTCCTGAACTCATCTGTTGCAAATTGCGAACAATAATTGTGAGGTATAATAATCTGCAGTTCTGATAAGCTACATTCCTCTCGCTATCGAATTATGAGACACATTGATATGAGTTCACTCTTCTTACACGAAGTCTAACACTGCATTCAACACAACAAATTAGGAGTAAATGCAATTTTCGAATGAAAAATCTTCATTTCAGTCTGCCTTTTAGTAACATTTCCAGCTATCATTATTCTAAACAGTAAAGTACACATGTCGCGTAATGCTTACTATCCATATAATAAACCTTTTGTATTTATTATCAATATTTTAGAGATGTTCTGCTTTTCTTTTATGGTCTAAGAGTTTTCATGAGAAACTCTGTAATGTGTACTTTATTTTTGAAAATAAAACCTCTGATTGTGACTATCACAGACAATTCTGTGATCATCTCTAAATTTATAAAAACTTTCATTTTTAAATATTATTAATAATTACATTACTAAATAAATTTTTTATGTTATAATGCCTATAAATTTCAATGATATCCGCTAAATAAATGAAAATATTTAATGTCAGAATTTCATTCCATTTCTTCGTTAGACTTTCATCCAGATCTTGAGTCATTTTTACACTGTTTTATTTAATTTGATTTTCGCTATTTGCTTAGATAAAATCTTGAAATCGATAAAAACGCCTTTTACCTACGAGGATTTCTCGACAAGTTTTACACGTAGGTATTTGCAATAACAATGCCGTATTATGTTGACTATATTGCACAGAAATGTCTTCAAAATTAATGTTTTCTAAACTAGTTAGTTTGAAGTTTTCTCACAAATCCTTGTTTAACGGTCAAATTAACTATTCAAAAATCCTGATTTTTTTTTTACACATAGACTATACAAAAACTTTATCTTCGAAATGAAGAGTATTTAGACGTTCTAACACAGTTTTCTGAATTTTGAAAATTTTCAGAAATTCGCTCGCTTTGATCAGATATGATGCAAAAGTAGACGCAAGAATAGATTTTTACGTGGAAAAACATTTAACCGTTCATTAGCAGCACATGGTTTTCAAAGGTGATGAGATTCGATTTATAGGAGATCAAATCAGATTTAAAGTAGAAATTTAAATGAATGCAATCTTATGGCAAATTTGGAAAAATAATTTTTCTGCGTTTAAAGGCAGTGATTTTCCTTTATTTTTTACTTCTTTTGCTCTTTCAGAATTAAATATAAGAAGAAAGAAACATAAAATTAAATATATAAAAAATTAGTTTCAAATTACACAGTTTTAGTTAAACATATTTAAAGTTAAGAAAAGTAAAATATTCTTTATGATATGCGGCAAAGTGTAAAATCCTTAAGACTTACATATACGAATTATATTAGGACACTAAGAAAATTTAAAGGTATAACAGAAGCAATATTGTCGAAATGACATAAGAAAGAGTATATGTAATCCGCTTAAATTTCGATTGTACAGTTATAATTTGCAATCTACCATTCTTAGGAGTCCCATGATTTTAGTTTTCATCATATATGAATATACTATGATCAGGAATGTGATTATAAGTGATTTAGGAAATTGTTTAAATTTTACTAGATTCTTAATTTGCTCGAATTTTTCCCATTACTCTTACTTTTTTGCGCAATTTTAGAAAGATTATATATACTCATAGAGAGAGAGATTTATCCTTTTTAAAATATGGTTATAGCAGCATTTCTATATTTGACGCGAATTTAAACTTCAACTTCATTTAAGCATTGATTGCTTATTTTACTTAAAATTAAATATAGCAGATTGATTCTAAAATATTAAATCATAAATCCATCTTACCTGTGACAAGGATTTCTGTTTCTGCCGTGTCCGAACCCACGCTGTTTTGCACTTTGCAAACATAGTGTCCTGAATCTTCTACTCTTGCATCTCGTAATACTAAGGTTCCATCCAGTTGTAGAAATCGGTTTCCTATTTGTAAAGGTTGAAGCCTATCTCTGGATTCTTTCTTGTACCACTCGTACGTTGGTATAGGAAACCCCTGAGAGGCGCAAGGAGCTTCCAAGGTTTCTCCCTCGGGAACCTTCAAGAGACGCTTGTGATCCGTAATTCGGGGAGGAACATCTCGAAAGGATTCTGGAACAAAATATGATTGCAATGCGGAGATCAATAGAGATGAGAGATATTTGAGGAGAATTCTGCGATAATGAATTCGCTTTCTTGTATTTCCCCCTCCCAGTGGGCTCAGTTCCTGCAATTAAGTAGATCATATACGATTTCTTTAGGAATCCTCGTATGTGCTGCGTAGAACTTCCATAAGATAAAGTTTCAGAAAATGAGAAGAAAGGATTAGTAATCAGATTCTTAATAACTACCAAATCCTTTCGTTGGAAAGGTATCGTAAAGTAGTATTTATTATATTTTGTTGCAGAATAATAGATTCTTCAGTTTTATATTAAATACAATTTAAATTAGATTATATAGGATTTAATGTACATAATTTAAGGAAAATTTTGGTTTAAAATACTTTTAAATAATATTTTATATAAAATTTTCATACTTACGCTATCAACAATGCTGTTAGAATCTGTCCTGTATATTGCACTATAAATGATAAAGTATCTAGATAACTTTCCGCAATTAACATTAGAAGTTTGCTTTTATCATAATACTGAATCATTTATTAAAACATCCATGGAATATAAGTTTATGACAACGACTGAAGATTCCAAATATTATGTTATTTTTATTGCAATGTTTCAGATGTTTTGCTATCAATAACGCCTCATAATATGCAAGATGCCAGCAACACATTTTACAGCCCTTTATATAAATGTTACAGGAATTGAAGTATTCACAATAATTAAAAACTAAATCTATCCGAATGTCTGCATTAAATTTTCCCTTCTGTAGGCAACATTGATACTATTGTAATGCAAGCTAGAACATTTATTCTGTTTCATTTTATCAAAGAAAAGAATATATATTAAAAATAAGGTTAATTTTTTATTTGATAATATAAGTACAGAACGCTTTTCTTCCAGACATTCAGGCAAGTAAATTAAAACTTTATTTGCGTCAACATGAAACGTATTTTTAATTCAACTAAATTAAAGCAACAGAAACAATGAAACATATAAAAATAAAAGAAATATTTTTTTTTTTTTTTTTTTTAGTTTTTTGTAATAAAATTCAATATCATGAAGGTATTTGTTTAACCTAACATTTTGGAAAAGGGCTTTATTATGCCTAAGCAATAATTCGTGAAGTAAAGGAAATGTAGCTAACTTAGATGCATAATTATATAATTCAAGATTCAAAGTTCACAGATTTGATGGCATATTGCAAACTATGCTGAAGGATCTACACATTCATTCTACATTCGTTCCAAAAGGTTCTCCATCCGTCTATGGCATGTCGCCAAATGGGCAATTTTGAGCCAAATATGGCAACTTTGCTTTCCCTTGCGATTTTATGGCAACACTAAACCCGCTTTGAGGGGAAGCTATCTTACCGCGGCTGGACAATTCGTAACAGTAGGTTAAACAGTCCGTAACGTAGATAGCATAAGTAACCTTAGTCCGTAACGTAGATACCTTCACAGCACTGGAATAATTTGGAACATTGCCACATTTTAAAACACTCTTATATCATTGGATTATAAACAGACGCTGGATTACTTTTGAACGTACTACGTTGTATTTTCATTTCTTTTTCTCTGTTGAATTCTGTAACACAATCGACAATTTGAAGAGATGGTTTATTAATTATGCAGACACTGCCATGAGGTTGAAAATAAAATTTGTAACACACTTGTTTAAGTACACATTCGCATAGCCATATAAATAAATATCTCGAGGCTTAAAAGAAGTGACCGAATAAATATTCCCATTCAGATTTGAAGCATAGAAACAGAATTTATTTCTTTAACATACTTTATGATTCCATAGATGAATTTTCCACTCGCAGTTGGGACATCATGTTAACTCATTGGGATGCAGAAGAAAAAGACTTGGCAATGTTGATGGAGTAGCACGCAGATAGCTTTTTGTGGCTACAATTTACATGGCATTCCAATCGTGCATATTCAAGAACATTTACATTTTTCATAATTATTTTGGAATTGAAGACAGCAGAGCGAAATAGGGTTCAAGCGGCAACAGAGGTAGAAACTAAAGAGCGAAATTATACAATATAGAAGCTCATTAAGAAGAACGTTTTGATTTAGGTTAGAAAGGTCTCGGTTTTCAAACTTTTGAGTTCAAGTTCCAAATTGACTACGTTACGCAAGGCATGTGACAGATTACTACGTTACGCAAGGCATGTGACAGATTACTACGTTACGCAAGGCATGTGACAGACTACAGATGGCGCAGTCCAGAAAAGTTAATACTACTTTTAGAATACAAAGAGGAAATACCCGTATTAGAATTGAGGAATTATGAGGGTATTACTAAATTAAATTTTAAAGCTGATTTATATATTTTTATCTTACATATAAGCTGCATTATACTTATATATAAAAGTCTATAAATTTCTAAATTAAATATTTCTTCCTGAGTGAATTGTTTGAAATGGTTTATTTTCTACTGAGTAGTAATCCTTAGTAAAATTAAATATGTTTGCATGGATTTGTACGAAATCAAACCGATATGGCTTGGTATTTGAGTAGATGAGCAAATCAAATTATGCCCATGAATAGAAATTTAATATAATGTTCTGGATTCCAATGAATGTGTTTCGCTTATATGAGAACGGAACTGACTTTTGTAATAGGATATAAGCCGCTTTCATGTTAATAGATATGATTTCCTTCTTAAGTAACAATGATATCATGTCACAGAGGATGTTCGAGACGAGATGGCTGCAGGATTTATTTCCTTAAATGTTGGTATTAGACACGTATTCCCAGGTATAGAGATTCTTAAATTAAGATATACAGCTTTTTAGAAACCGTTTCAGTTGAAAATATACGAGGCATTTAGAAATATAGTCTTTAAATTTTATATAATTTCCCAAAATCACTCCGTTGATAAAATTCGGGTTTCATGTAATAAATTTGAAAGTTATGTTCATATATGCGTAAAATTATAACTACTAATAATAAATACAAAGTAGTTCTATATACAGTAAGCAAAGATTTATCTCAAAATTTAATAGCTTTTATTTATAAATTCTTGCCATACCTGATAGAAATCTGGAGCAAAGATGGTTTGATAATAATGACTGAAAAGTGATCTAAGTCAATAAATTCATTCTCGAATATCTTTACGAGCTCTATTGGTATTTTGAAACTTTATGAATTTCATTCACTAAAGCTTAATGAAGCGAATCATACAAAATATAAGATTTTTTATTTAAACAAAACTTCAACGCACAGAAATGAAACCTTTTTACCGTATAATCTGTGTTTCTTACAATATTATCTGTATGTATCTGCGAATGGAAGTTACATGTCTAAGATAAAAATATAAAACTTATAGCTCTTTGTCTTGATGTAATTTATGATATATAATATTATTAATAAATAATAATACAGGGTATGTAATTTTTACTAACTTTTGATTAATAGTACTAAATTTTCCATTGTGTGATTAATTAAATAAATTAAAATTCAATTAAATAATCTAGGCTTTTTTTTAAATATAACTTAAACTTTAAGTAATTATAATATTTTTGCTTATAAAATAGTTCCCTTCTTCCCATAAAATATTTAAGTTATTAAAAGCATAATTTATAGAATATAGCTTTTGGGAAGAATCTAGTAGAAACAAGTTGCTTTCAAGTACACCAAAACTAAGGCCAACTTACGCGTACAGAAAATTAATCGAATTATGTTTAAATATATTATTGTCTTGCTTAGCAATTAACATGTTCCTTCAAATATAGTGTTACGTTCTATCAATTTATTAATTATGTATTTTTATTTAATTACTAAGGATTGTCAAAAAAAAAAACTGTTATGCAAATGCGAAGCACTGGTTTAACTTTTCTGGGATAAAGTCAATATTATTCTAAATTATGCGTGATGTAAACTAATCTATTATAAATAGTTGTTCATAAATAGAGTAATACTGTCATAGAGAACCTGTAGAACTGTTAATAAAGATGACCTAAAATATAAATTAATAAAGATGACCAGGGAAACAGAGAGAACTATCAGAAAAATGTAAACTAACAAATGAGGTGCTATAAAAAGTAGGCGTTGTATTTTTTTATTCAAAAATGGTAACCAGTCTCTTGCGCTGCCCAAACAATCGTTGAATATGAGAATTAATCAATAAGCTCATGAAAGGAGGATAAACCGAGCTGATAAACCCTTAACACTGGTTTCTCTCGTTTTTAAATCCCAGAGGGCGGGCTGGCTAAGTAATTTTACGCGATTTATTGTTCTCCCGTGTAACGTGAATATGGGTCAGTCTCCTTTAGGTTGTCCTTGATTAAAACCTAACAAATCCAAATCCATTAAAGGAAGAACGGTGATCCCTAGTGTGGCTTTTTGACGCGGAAATAAGAGAAGAAACTACAGAAGACAAGTGTATTTCCAACAGCAGGTGCAATTCACAGCTTCTCCTTTAATACATAGAGTGGAAAAATAACCACCACGACGGTATACCTTGACATCATTTCCAGACAAAAAATCCTCGTTATACAGGAGCACTACATAATAGAATATCTATAAAAAGAGTTCAGTATAACACTGTTTTGTTAGCTATATGTTACATGGATGCACATGTAACACATAGCACTGCGGCCCTTGCAGCTACTACAAAAATATCGTGTTTCTAAGAGTTCCAACAAAAGTCAAAATAACATGCTTTTTGCTTCACTCTCGGCATATTTTATTTTAAAAAAACCTGACCTCGTAAACAGCTATCTTACTTGTGGCACAACACTGCATTTACAATGCCACTTAAAAATCATTGAAAATATAATCACCTGTTCTAAGCATCGTAATACCAGTGACAATTGGAGAAAGAAAAGTTTCAGGAATGAATAATCTGAGTCATATCCATTCATGCCTAATCCTTACTATTTTTCTTCTAAATTTATTAAAAATTTAAATTTTGATTTTTATGTTTCATTTTTTAACTGTAGTTAAGTACCGTTGTCGCCATAAAGAAAACATCAGACAATTTAAAATTTTAACTCTTTGACTCGATTCAAAAAAGTAAGTAAGTTTATTTCTTGCCAAACGCTTAACATACTGATAATTACTAATATGAACAGAAAATTTTAATGTCTTTCTCAAATTGATTACAGAAAATACGATGGTTCAATTACAACATCACTAGGACTATATGTCTTGATTTATTATTGACAGTACTATAGGAAATATTTTTGTATCGTTCAGGCAAAGTCCAACATTTTAAATTGTGCTGTTTTGTGCAATGCTTATATTGGATAAACAAAACTGCAACTTTTATATTGTTTGTGCATCTTTTATATTGGATAAACAAAATTGCAAAAATGCCCCGTATTTTGGCATATGCGGTGCTGCCTAATCATAAATGGAACAATCAGAATCTCAGATATTCTGACGCATATGCTGATGTCTTCATTTTTTCGTCTCAGTTTTCCCTGTTTTTACAGAGCTATCAATCCTCTTGCTATAGAAATTCAAAAAACTTTCAATCCTAAGGCATGACTTTCACTCCTCATGCAGAAAAAGATGTACGAATTTGTAATTATCACGTTAAAAACTGCAAAACATACGAAGCCAGCAGAGATGAAAGAAACTTACCAGCCACTGCACAAGTAATACTGAAATTTTATTGCATACTCTACACAAAACGTAAAGTTATGGCAGTCTATAATTGGTATCACACCAAGAAGATGCCGATATTGGTGAAACGCTGCATATCTTAAAATTTCTTTAAGCACCAAAAGATGGCGTCCTAACCTATTTATGCATGTGATTTCGCAAATATTGTTGACTTATTTCTAGAGAATTTTGAATAGGTGGTTTTGGTTTTGTTGCCAGGAGCAGTCGCAACGAAAGAGTTAGCAAAATTAAAAAATCTTCTATAGTTCTCAAAGTTCTTTGTTAAAAGGTCTGTCTGTATACTGAAGTCTATACAGCAAATTTCGCGGATTCTCAGAAGCTTTACCCCTTTATTTTACCACATTTAAGAATAAAGATGAAAGCTCGAAATCTGTGAAACATTATACTACGTTTAATGTTACTGTGCAGCAGCGAAAAACTGTTTTTATCTTCTATGATAGTTATCATATAATACTCGCTTAGAAGTCGAAAGTTGTCAACATTGTGCAAAATCTGGTGTTATGAACAAAGAAACTGAAGGTACCTCCCAAAATACATGTTTCCATTTTTTTGTTTGTAACACTTACCAAAAACGGACTCGGAAGAAAGCCCCGCATTTAATACTGGATCTCAAAATTTAATTTTATATAGTTTTTATTAGGCTAAAAATTGTGTTTTTTTATTTTCTTTAGATACGTCTATTCTCGTAATTGCGTAAAGCATAAAACGCTTACATAAACTCGAAAAATATCTAAACAAATGCATTTGGAATTCGTAATTAGTTAATTATAAATATTATTACGGTATTACTCCTGAGTATAGGTTTGTGATATACTAGTCACTAGAAAATCCTATTAGCAAATTTGATGACATAGTTCGATTCCTCGCGTAGGCATGGTTATGTTTTTATGTTTCAAGTGCGACAATCCTTACAGGGGCGATCGAACTAAGATATGATGTGCAACAACTTGTCGCCAGCTGAACTTGCCCGAGATGGTACCGTCCGCTCCGCGAAAACATCTTTTACGCAAGGCAGGAGTCCCATACTGGCTGCCTGCGGCAGGTTAGCAACCCTCGAAACAATTTTATACAGCCCACTAACATATTTCAGTTAATGTTTGTTATAAACACGGTTTTTATTGTACTAGAGACATAGAGATACGGACTGAGCTTTTGCGAGCGACTGAATGGAAAAGGGATAGAAGTTTGCGTTTTGTCATTGTAGGCTTGTAATCCGTGGTACATAACTCGGTAAACTGGGATAAATTTCTACATTGGCAGAATCAGTAAATTTAGTTGATCAGACGACAGTTGATAATGCTTCAGTGTTCTAATGCTGTCGATTTTTCAATAGAATTGTTACTTCTGACGTATACCTCAATTAGTCACTAGTTCGTTGGCTGCTTGCGCGGCTGTGAAGCTCATATTGTTATGTCGGTAGAGACAAACTGATTTAAGGCTAATAAATCCTGCTTATTTGTGCTTTTTATTAGATCTACCATATTTCAAAACCTAGGTTTGGGATTGTGTCTAATTTCTGAACGAATTAGAAATGAAGCCAACAAAAATTTCCTGCAAGTACGAACCTATGCATTTCTGATGGAAAATTAATATAAATTTGAACTTTCTCTTTGCATTATTATAATGAGCATTGTTAATGCATTTCAACTTTGTTAAAAAAATCAAGCCCGTTAGATACTTTCAGATAATAAATTCGGCTCGCATGCTCCTCCCTTGTGCACCGTTTTACTATAGTGGATAGCACATCCAGTCAGCAAGCAAAAAGACCTTTGATTCCATTCACTGTGCAGCAGCGAAAAGCAGGGCATGATCTTTCATACTGTCGCTCCGAAAACCTAATAGTCAGTATTTACAATTTACCAATACTTGGGTGAATGTAAAGCGCAGAGTCGATCTTTTCACTATTGGCGATGGTTTTATATTACTGTGTTTAGAAAAGTGAATCCTAATATTGAACAATCCTAATATTGAGCCCACAATAGCGAACGCAGCCTTTTTTTATTTTTTATTAAGAAATGTGAAGCCTGCTTACTGTAGCGATACTTATATTGTAGAAGTTCATATTTCTCTTATGGTTCTGACTCTTTCTCGACAAGCGGCGTTAAGCTTATTTCATTGTTCCTCTACAACAAGATATGGCTTGTGTCTTCATTGATTCATCCTTTATATAGTTTATTTTCTTTCTCCCTGATTCGAAAATACTATTCAATCTGTATTGTTTAATTCCTATGGCTTCAACTTGTTAGGCAAATAGCCAACAGTCAGCCGACTGACCGGATAAGGATAGATCTTTTTAAACCTCCAATTAAAGATAATACTATGCAGAAAACATTTGGTAGCAATTCTTCTAAGGGTCAGGCTTTGGCTCTTCCTTTTTCATATATATTTATTTCTTCGAAGATCACTCTGAGCAAAGCTGTAATGAAGCAAATGTGTAATCATATGCAATTTCTTAAATATTAGTAATCTAGAGACGCTAAACTTCATTTGTCCTAGCCCAGCAATATGATTTTGAAATCTTTTACCATATATCAGCAATACATTAAGTGTAATATAGGATGTATTCAACTGATAGTTTCTAAATTTTAATCGGTTTCGACATTCAGAACATTCATCCACACATTCAAGAACAGCTCATGCAATCAGACTCTTGGGTCTTAAACAGTTTCATCAGTGAGACCTTTGTTTGATACGCTGATTCCCTAGCATACCAGTTGCCCTGTTTGCAAAGGAATCGAAAGAGTCATTTGCAGACAAGCAATGCCTCTTTCTCTTGGAATGATTCTTTTGTTGTTTTCCTTTCAAATTAGTTTAAAAGAAGAGTAGGTTCATTTCATCAGTACTCTTGGTGACCTGGAGATAAACAGTGAATATATCACTTGAAAATTTCAAATTCATTTATTGGGTTTGGGGAATGGAGTAACGAAAAATGTCCTGTCTCACAGAAAAATTCAGATGTTTTAGTAATTTGGCAGTAGAGCTAGCTAATTAAAGATTTAAATAGATTTTTCGATAATCTTGGCGCAGTACTTTGAATATTCGTAAGAATATTTTGCTTGTAAAAAGTGGAGGAAGGTAGAAGAATACGTTTACGGAGATGATAAAAAATATGGGTGATTCGGTGATTTCGGTGTGTTAGTAAAGGATAAATAAAACTAAAACGCATCTAATTGTATAACTAATTTTTATATATAAATAACTAAAAATAAAAAATAGCTAAAAATAGTTACACAAATAGATGGTAAGTTTAGATGGTAACATACAAATTAATTTTTACGATGCATATAAATTAGTACTGTTAGTAATACAAATAGATTTTTACCTGCTACGAGTAACCTTCCGGTGGTAGTACTAAGTACTGTTTCACCAGTTAGACGATGTCTTGTCTCACAGCGGTATTTCTGAAGGCCATCAGCGTGGTCAACTCTACGAATATGGAGTTCACCTGTTTGGAATATGCTAAATCTTTCTCCTATGGGACAAGAAGATATCATTAGAAACGTAAAGTTTATTAAGTTACTAGGTAAGTAAAAATATATTATTTGTTGCATGTATAACGTAAGGTAATGAATATTGGAAAATTTAAAACTGTAAAATTGTAACTCACTTGTCAAAATAACACAGTAATATTAATACTACCAAATCTAATAATATATCTTCATTTCTACATCCTGATTTTTTTTAATATCGCCTGTTGTTATTGCTGTCTACCGCTGCTCCTGGGCTTCAAATTATAATTCATGTTGTTGAAATTACTGTGTATGTTATCTGCTCCACCCAAACAAGTAGTCGGCATCGTCACTGATATCATCATCTTCATCGTTATCCAGTATGTCTTCTCACGTGCAAAGGTTTTCAGTATCAGATATCCCCGTTTCCCAGTTCAATTTTTCACTATTAATACTTTATCAGTTAGAACCCGTTCGTCCAAAATCCACAAGAAAATCAACTAGTAAGAGAAAAGAAATCACTACATGGACGAACCCATTTTTGAATTTAGGATAAGTTGCTTTCTGAACGTCTTATAGTGGGAAACTGAGTGAAGACTTGAAACAAATTTTAACTTGGGTTAAGCTAAGGGGGAAAAAGGAGTGATCCCTCGTCTGCTGGTTAGCAAGACCTGACCTCTGACTCCTGTAACCTTTTCTCCTCTGGTGAATCCTCCTGCCTTAACTGCTTTCGGCATAGCTGTTGAATAGAATGTACTTGCGCGACGAGAGATCTTGTTGCCTTATCCCTCAGCTGGCACTGATTCTCAGTTGGTTGCTCACTTTATCTAATTCTAATAGACTGTTCAACTATCATTTTTCTGTCTGGAAGTTTTATTACACCACAGTCCTAGCCTCTATTCTCTTTTAGCAGGATTTCCTACTCATCAAGTCAAAACTGGCTTTTTCTTCTTTGTTCCACCATTTATGGAATCCCGACTTTTTCTTTCTCGGATTCGCATTTTCGATGTAGTGGAAAATCTGTGTTTGGCACTGCATTTCTATGAGGATGTGATTCCTGCAAATTGACTTTTAAAATTCGCGTATCAGCTCGCTCAGAATATTTTCTTAATTGATCCACATCTGCCGTAACATTTTCCGCCATTGCTGATTTAAAATAAATAACGGATCTTCTTATTCGATCGATGAAGAATGGGCCGTCCAATTCAAGACACGATTTTTCACCTTATCTCCAGATGCACATGAAAGAAAATGTTTAATTTTCAGAACTTTAACTCCTATTTTGACCCGTTCAGGACCAGCGTTCCGTATACGCGACACAACGATTTTACTCCTACTAGCCCAGCGTCGCTCCGACCAATCTCTGCAAACCAGCGTCGCGTATATGTAACTTTTAAACGGAATCATTTATTTGAATTTTTAAAAGCCAGTAGATGGAGCTAAATAGTAACTGTTTTCACATGATTCATAGGGCATTTGGCCTTCATGTATTGGCAATAGCATGTGTTCTGTGCTTCTGTTTTTGATAGATTTATTGGTATAAACAAACTGGGAATCACAGCTCTTTATAAGTGCGCCTGTGAATTAAAGGGGCACGGGAGGTTTTGTTTATTTCATTAGGAATTTTTTTTTGTTAGTTTTCGCTTTTGTTCTTTGCTTTTCTCGTTATTAGAAGGTGGGTAAGTGCATCTAGTTCCTAGTTTTTCGTTCATTTTTTTTCTTTTTTTTTGTTAGGCATTTGCATTCAGCTGACTATAGCAGGTGTAACATCGCCGAACTTCCGTGATGGAAAACCTCAAGACCAGTTGTCCTTTTTTCTATTTATTTTGAAACTTAACATAAGCTTTCTTGGTTAATTAGGTAACATTATAGCATTATTACAGAAGGGAAAAGACTATCAGCTTTCTCGAAGCGTAACGCGTTTTTACTTGCTCGCATTTCTCAGGAAAGAGCCAGTGTTTTTGTTTTTCTTACTCAATTTAATAGGTCATTATATATAATGCTTTGAATGGTGCTTATATATAATTACCTAGGCAGTATATAATGTATTTACTTTATATATAATGTAATTATATATAATGCATCTATTGACTTGATTAGAAACGGATCCCGCCGGTGGGGTCTTTCCTTGATCACTTTCCGGTCATCGTGGCGGACACAGGAGGTTTTCTAATATAAATCTGATGTCACACAGGGTCTGAAGAAGAAATATTTCTGGGTGTCTTTCGAAGAAGTTTTGGGGCATGCGTTGCGGTTATATTCAGTTTCATTCCATTATCCATGGCTAAGAGGTACCTAACTGAGATACCGTCTAATTCGAATATTTTTTCCGAAAATTTGTGTTGATGGAAAAGGTAATAAAGGCAGGAAACGCTAATGTGAACTAAAAACAAGGAAAGGAGAAAAGAAACAACGTATTTTTAGTGCAAATTATGCAATGTAGGACAGTGTATCGATTCTTGTTTTGAATTATTCTACATACAGCAGAAATTTTAAATTAGAGTTTAATTACCTACAGATAATTCTTGCTTAGTTTTCTTTCTTTAATTTATTTATAATTAATTATGTGTTTACGTTTAATTTATTTATATTGATGTGATATTCTTTATATTAATACATATTAAAAGCAAGTACATTAAATACGCAATTTCAAAAATTGCAGTCATTATATCGAAATGGTGATCTGGCAAAACTGGCACATGAATTTATGTATTTTTAAGTTTTTCAAAAGCTATGTTTGCTTCGGCTGACCCAATAAATCTGTCTTTCTTTTTAATTTGAACTGCTGTTAGGGTATCTTTGCAAAGTCCCTGATAAAAGAGGTATAAATAAAACCCAAACCCAAAAATAAGGTTGCCTTATTTTGCAGTTTTTGGGAAGGATAATTTTTTGTTGCAACTACTTCGGAATTCTTTGTCTCAATTCTTTTCTACGATATCTTATAGATTTAAGTAAAGAAGTTTATTGATCGCGAATGTAAATTTTAATGCATTTATTTTTAATCCTGCGTCGTTTAGAAGCGAACCTACTTCGTGTAAATTCCTAATATTTTCGTCTATAGTCTCGCAAGATACAATTACATCATCTTGATAAATAAAAGCAGTTCTTAGTATGGTATCCATGACCCTATGAAATGACCTAAGTGGCGGGAGCTAAGTCAAACGGCATTCTCAAAAGGGCAAAAACGCCTGATTTTGTAATAAATGCGATTGCGAATTTTAGCACATCCACTGGTTTTACACATATTTCAAAAAAATCTTATGTAGGAACTAGCGTCCTCCTGTAATTCGTCGATCTAATCTTACTAGTTATTTGTTCGTTTGCAGGCAGTGGATTAACAGGATATTTAGTAATGCTATTTAAATTTCGGGAATCCAATGCAAAACGACATTATTAATGGCCTGTTTGTGGGAAATTACTTTTTTTTCAGCATAGTACAACTGGGTTAGCGTAAGGGTTAATTATGGGAATTTTTACCTTGTTCTTTAACATTTCTAGTATACGCTTTTAAATAATTTCTTCTTCGATTCTGTCATACGGGTAAGGATTTGCTCTAGGGGGTCATTTCCTTGTGTCAATGCTGTGGTTTGCAATTTGAGAGAGTCCTGGTTTATCATCGCATAATTTAGAAAACCGTCTTACCAACTGTTTTAGGTAGCGTTTCTCTTCAGTCAGGAGGTGATTCAGCTTAATGCCTGGACGGTGTATTTTTCTCTTCTGAACTGTAGTCATGGCTAGCCGTACCGTGGTTTCCTGAAAATTAATTATAACCCCCACAGTCTTTAGAAAATCGATTCCTCAATTTACTGAAGTTTGCAGATTTTTCACAAAGTAGAAAACTAATTTTTGTTGCTCCTGCGCATGTAATGTAACTTTTCCTACACATGTAAACTCTTTGCCTTGGCCAGCAATAACTTTTGCTTTTTCAACTTCCATATATTCTTTATTGTTTAAAATGTTTTCGAAAACTATTCTTCTCCAGAAAATTATTTTGAGCCCCTATACGCAATATTGCATTCAATGGAACATTATTTAATAATATTTGTTCAAAGCCAAATGTTTTATAACTATCGTATTAAACTGAATTCTCGAGATATTTTCTTGGGTAACTGTATCGGCTTAACTTTAGTACCCCTTGTTGGTTTATATTTGGATTGCCTTTTTCCCTCAATTGCGTTTTACACTTGGTGATCACCACTCGCGTTCGAAAATTTCATTCTGCATTCAAAACGTTTATTTTCGTCAAACCTTGGCTTTTTTTGCACTACAACCTGATAAAACTGTCCGTCCGACATCTGGTCATATCCTGTTGTAGGTGTACTTTTGGATTTTCTCTTGTTTTCAAACTTTACTGAGAGATCAAACAAATTCTCCAGCGTACTCCGGTTTCTTAATCTATGAAAATAGAATATTTAATTTTTTTAAAAAAGAAATCTTTAATCTGTGGTAGCATATCTGATAATCTGAATCACCTCTGAAACTGACCTTTTTCCATTTAACAAATTAAAAATTTGAATTTTTCTTTATATAGACTATTTTAGTTCTTCGGCCTTCAACTGGTATTTACTAATACGTTCCGCTACAATTTGGCTCTACCTTTTACCACTGTGAATGCTCTTTTGATGGCGGTTTTAGATACGTCTAACCCGTAGGTCTCGGTTCACACAAAAGTTTCCATTGCACTTGTACCAGCTCAGCGCCTGTCCTCGTAATGCAGCGTAGCGTCTGTTATAGTAGCTTTCTGAACTTCTGGTACAAGCAAAAACAAAAAATGCAAATTTAACTGTTTAAGAAAATTCTTTACCGATCTTTTTCACCAAAAGTCACTGCGGGCTTCACTGCTGCACGCATCGTATCCATGATATATCCAAATTCTTATTGGAGCCTGTGGACCTTGCGATGTTGAGCCTGACAAACTAAACTTTGTTTTTAGCCATGGTCCTTACTTTTGTTCTGGCGTAACTATACTACTTAGAGTATTTAGCAATCATTCTTAGTGTCTAAAATCTTTGTAGACGTTAAG